GGGGAGAGGTTCCACATCCCAAATTTCAACTACTGCTCAGCAGTAGATATTGGTGGTCCTGGCCTACATAGCATACAGAGGCTCTTGCCTTTCAGAAATTAACTTATTAAGAAAACTGTGAAAAACAAAGTTTTCAAACCTTTCTGCTACCACTTTTTTTGGGGGGATGGCAATGGGTATTGAACCCAGGGCAAGAACTCTATCACTCGAGCCACATCCCTAACTCCCAGATAATTTTGATCATTTTAGGGCACCAGTGGCTCATACCTGTTAATCTTAGCTACTCAGGAGGCTAAGAACTGAGGATCATAGTTCAAAGCCAGCCTAGGAAGACAAGTCTGAAAGACTCTTATCTACAATTAGCTAGCAAAAATCTTGAGGTGGAGATATAGCTCAAGGGGTAGAGCCAGCCTTGAGCAGAAAGAGCGAAGCAAGAGTATAATGCCCTGAGTTCAAGCCCCATACTGACACCAAAAAAAAAAAAAAAAAGTGAAGGAATTCATACTGGGTTGGCTACTACTCCCCCAAATAGCTAAATAAATAAAGTCAGGAAAATAAGAAAGGTTAGGAAGAGAGGGATAAGTATCTTTGATACAAATTTAAAGAACTATCACCACCCACAAAACCAGAATTTTGAGATGGGGAATGAAGGAAAGAAAAAAAAGCTCATTTCTGGTTGGGCCCATTTCCAGTTCTATAGGTTAATCTTCATCAGTGTTGGGAGCACAGCTTTCACAAATGTTCTGAAAGGAAAAGCAGAGTTAATTTTCAAGTATCTAATGTGCTACTCCTCTGCATAACAAAAAGTGGAGAGCTATCAGCTTGAGAAACAGAGCAGGAACAAGACAAAGGGCTGAGGTGAGCAAAGGCAGACGGTGGCGCCCAGACAGAGATTTAAGCTGTTCCTGGAAAAGAAGGGATCCATGCTTTGTTTTGGCTGACTAGAAAGGGCTACTGCAGAGACCCTATAGTACACAATGACACTGTGTGCTGCCATTGTCCCAGAGGCCAGCACAGCACCCAGGAGACACACTGCCCTATCCCCCGTCAAGTCAAAACGTGTCTGCTCCCAGAATAGCCCACAGAGCCTGGCTGGCTGAATTTCAAAAGCATTCTGACAGCTGCAAACAGTCCAGACAAGGGCAGCTAAAATGATCAGGGACATGGACAAGTCTATATGAGGGAAGGCTAAAAGAATTAAGACCACTCTGTCTGGAAAGACAAAGGCTTGGACCTAGAGGCAATAAAATCAGAGTTTATGAAATTCACAGTTCGTACAAAAGGTGAGAACTGGTCAAATACAAACATCCTTACCAAACCTACACCAGGAGGGGGCTGTTCCTTCCCTAGGGAAAGCCTGACAAATAAAATCAGGAAGTACTTTACACAATTGTTAGTACTGCTAGAGTCCATTACCCACAGGAAGTTAGAAAAGCCAAAAGTATAAATAGGTTCAAGGGAATTTAGATACATTTGTGGATGATAGCTCCATCATAAATATGGAATGTAATTTAAGGAGATGTCTAATCTTTTGGGCTGTGGATGGGCAGTTCTGTGGATGGGTAAAAAGGTTTGGGGCTGTACTATCTGGTATAAATAGGTTTTGGACACCTGGAGGCCCAGGAACAGATCCCTAGGGAGGCAGGCAAGGGAGCTATGGGCTATCTGGTCTCTATGGGCTTCGGGGCTCGCTTTCCTCTTAAGTCAGGTTGGATAGCTGAGTGAAGCAGGTTGAGGAGCCAGAAGACATCAAGTGTGAAGTATGAAAGGCACTGGAAGGAGCTGCAGGTACCCACAGCAAAGTGAGGACAAACCCAGGTGTCTCTGCCCATAAAGGGCACGTGCCCTAGGGACCTTGGCTATACACAGGGAAATTTGAGGACATCACAATCCGCTCCTACCAAACATACAGGCAAACCCCTGGCCTGTGCACACATGCATGAGAGAGACAGATTGATGGGTTGCCCACCTGGGTGTTCTGCGTGGGAATCTGGAGGACCAAGGCCAATGTGTTGTGATCAAAGTTCTCATCCAGGGCCAGCAAGGCGCCATGGACCCCACTTTCATGCAGGTTTCCTGCATAATCCCGAAGCCCAATAGACTGGACCCAGTGAACAACCTGGTCGTTGGTCCAGACCAGCACATCTGAAGGACAGGGGAAGGAAGGAGCAAAAACAAGACAACAGGTTTGTCCCTGATCCTGCAGGGACACAGATAGAGTTCCCTAGCCCTGGAGCCCAGTCACCTGCTCTCCAGCTCCCATCCCTTCTCCAACTCCCACATCTTCTTTCTGCCTTCTTGGATCCTGAGTGTCTCCAGAACCAGCCCCACCTCATCCCATCCCTGCCAGTCCACAGGACTCAGGAAAGGGCCAACAGTTGCCTGGTTTTAGGCCTCAGCCTGTAGCAAAGGCTATCACAGCTGACCATGCACGGACTGCGGCCCTTTCCTCAGACTGGAAGTCCATGAAGCAGCTGGTCTGCATCTTCTCCTTGGGGGTGGGAATGTCCACTGGGTCCAAGGGAGAGACCAGAGAGGCAGGCTGCGCTGCCCTTTTCTATGGAGGCCCCAGCAGGCCACAGCAGCTTACCCTTGATCTCGTGCTGACTCTCCTCCCGCCTCTTCTCCAACTCCTTCCGGTCATAATTTAGCCTCTTCAGACACATGATGCCATACTGAAGGCTGGTTCTGCAGGCACAAGCCCCCTGAGCCTGAGCCACAGTGGGGCCGTGTTCCTGCCCAGTTGCCCCACTACCCCTCCCCCCAGAGCAGCCACAGCAAGTACAGACCCACCTCCTCCAGCAGGGAGGCCCCCAGCCCTCTCACACATCTCTTGCTGGGGCTTGTACAGTTATTTTCTTCTCCTTGTTCATCAGCTTTAAAAACTGTACCAACACCACCCATAAACATACCTCACACTCCCAATCTTCTTCATCTTGGTTTGATTTTTTTCCATAGCATTTCTGATCTATTTAACATACTGGATGGTTATTCTCCTTAACCGTCTTGCCAAGTTAGAATACAAGCTCCATGAGGGCAGGGACTTAGTTCTGTTCACTTACAACACATCTTACAACTCTAGCACATAAAGAAATACTCTATAAATGTTCAGTGAATCAAATGGGATAATTCAGCCAGTTGCCGGTGGCTCACACCTATAATCCTAGTGACTCAGGAGGCTGAGAACTGAGGATCGAGGTTCAAAGCCAGCCTGGCCAGGAACATCTGTGGGACTCTTATCTCCAGTTAACCACCAGAAAACCGGAAGTAGAGCTGTGGCTCAAGTGGCAGAGTGCTCACCTTGAGCTGAAGAGCTCAGGCACAGCGCCCAGGCCCAGAGTTCAAGTCTCACGAGCAACAATAAATAAACGAACAAACAAACAAATAAATAATTGTGATAATTCATATAAATTACTAGGAGTACTTAAAGAGTGCCAGGACACAGTATGCCCTAAAATCACTAAGTAAGCCAGACTGAGAACTAGAGTCTGTAGGCTAGAAGAGACACCAGAGCTGTTAGTCTAATTAGTCATTAGCTTCTCCTAAAGCAGGAGCCACCTTTACATACCTTACAGAGCAGTTACTCAGCCAGTCCCCAGATACCTCCATCGACTCTCCCTTCCCCAGGCAGCTCATCCCACCCTGGATGATTTCCTAGGACTTTTGCTTAACATACTCAGTCCTTTAGCTGTTCTGGGTTTTTCCATCCCTGGAGGGACAAAAAGTTCTTTCCAACACCAACTGCTTTTTTTTTGGTGGGGCGGGGAGGGAGTCCTGGGACTTGAACTCTGGGCCTGAACTTTCTCACTGAGCTTTTGTGCTCAAGACTAGAACTCTATCACTTGAGCCACAGTTCCATTTCTAGCTTTTTATGACTAATTGGAGAAAAGAGCCTCACATACTTTTCTGCCAGGGCTGGCTCCAAATTGTGATAATCAGATCTCAGCCTCCTAAGCAGCTAGGGTTACAGTCATGAGCCACTGGCACCTGGTGCCAGCTGTTTTTGACTGTATTACCGAGCCATTACTTGTGAGAATAAATTATGCAGACTACACCCTTCTGGTCTCCCCACAGTTCTATCCAGAAAATCCTTCTGCCCCAAAGTCATAGTTCAGAGACACCACTTTCAAACCATACATTTATGCTCACTCAGCTGGGTGATGCCTTGGCTACCCTGAGGGAGCATGAAAGGTTCTTAAATATCCCTTTCTTGTCATAAAAAAGGATGAGTTAATAGAATTATTCTAGATTGCGGAACATGTTTATGAAATCTAAGTGGAATAAAAGCAGATCGTGTATAGCTAGGGAGAGAGGATGTGGAAAGGCTTTCGAAGTCTGAAGCACTGGAGAACAAAGCTGGTCTAGGAGCAGCATGTGGCAAGCTGCCTTCCCTCCCAGAGGGGGCTGAGCCAGAGGGATGATGAGTGGGGTAACTTCCACATCCCACTGAGGCTGGAGGGGCTCCTCAGCAGCCCAGGCCCATTCTGGCTTGGCAAGAGACTCCCCCTTTTCCCCAGCCCTATCAATCAAGGAGGACAGGACAGGTGCGCTGGGCCTGGCAGCCTCCCTCCCAGAGACAAAAGATTCCTTTTCAGCCCAGTGAGGGGAGCGGGAGAAAGAGAGGCCAAGTTGAGCTGGGGTCAAGACAGGAGTCTCTGCATATGGTGACCACAGCATTGGACTTGAGTCTGCAGACTTGATTCCACCTGCATGTGGGTTACCAGTCCTTCCCACTACTGGTTCCCCATCCATTAAAATGCATAATAAGCTACCTAGATCCCTTCCTGATTTACATAAGCAGTAGGGCAGCTACAAGCCCTAGAGAACCCTGAAAGGCTGCACAACCTTAACCCCACTCAAGGGAAACGACCTGGCTTAAATAACAAACGGGGTTACTTGAATCTGTATTCTGTGGAGGACTTTCAAAAAGGGCTGGGAAGGTGGCTCAGTGGTAGAATGCTTGCCTTGCATGCATGAAGCTCTGGGTTTGATTCCTCAGCACGACATAAGCAGAAAAAGCTAGAAGTGGTACTGTGGCTCAAGTGGTAGAACACGAGCCTTGCGCTGAAGAGCTGAGGGACAGCGCCCAGGCCCAGAATTCAGGCCCTATGACCGACCAAAAACAAAGTCAACTTCTAGAAGCATTATTATCCACCACTCTCTCCAAGTTAAATACTTGCTGGGAAGCAGGCTGAAAGGGCTGGAGGAGCCAGTGAAGGCTGCACCAGCCAATGGGCTGCTTAAACTGCCAGATTGTTGCCAGAGCTTCAGGTTTGCAAAGCCAGAAATCCAGAAGTCTGTATGAATTCTCCTACATTGAAGTACTGGCAACAAAATGAGTGATTTTCAAAATACATGTGGGCCAAGTGAAACATATCTATGCGCCAAATTCCTCCCATTGGTTGGGTGCCAGTTCAGGACCTCTGCCCACAACTGAGCAGATCTTTTTAGCCAAGAAGAGGGGAGAAATGGGTGACACCACCCACAAAAGGATGTGACCCACAGCTGATTCCTCCCAGGGCCAAGCCCCAGCCACCCTTTCACTTAACCTGGAAGGAACTGAAACATCTAAATCAAATGACAGATTTCAGGTGCATCCACTTGGCAGAAATGGAAAATCCAGCAAGCTCAAAAACAAGCCAAGAAATTTCAGACCTTGGAGGAAAACCAAGAAAGGATGATGCCTGAAAGAAATGACTTTGTGTGTACTAAGGGTTGGAGGTGAAAGGATCAAGTCCTCCCATCACAGGATAAGACATGAATTCCGTGAAGGAGACTTTCACAACCAGGACACCTGTTACCATTGGGACCAGCCATGGAAAGAGAGGAGAGGCACCTCCATTCATGGAGACAGACCCTGCCCCGGCTCAGGCCTGGCTCACCGATGGAAGCTGTCCACCATCTTCAGGTGGACCCGCAGGTCTTTCTTGGTGAGGTGATCCAGCATGCGTGCATCCACCAGGCACTCCATGAAGTAGCTGCGGTACTGAGGGAGCCCAAGACTGGGCAGCCATTCATTCCCAATCCACTCATGGTTCATGTCTCCATAGGCCAGGGTCTGGGGATGAGAAGAGGAAGGTAATGCTATCAGGTCAGAGCTGGTAAATCTGGTGAGGAGAAGCCTTCATCCACCCTCCACCATGAAGCAGGGAGAAGGACTCATAACATTCCAGTTTCTTTTCACAAAGAGGCTGGGAATGGTAGGTGGTAGGAGATTTCAATGGAACTTTTCAGGACTCAAAATTATTGGGTTCTGGCCAGTCTCCAGGGGCTCATGTCCCTAATCCTAGGTGTACAGGAGGTTGAGATCTGAGAATTGTGATTTGAAGCCGACCCAGGCAGGAAAGTCTTTGACTCTTATCTCCAATTAACCAGCAAAAAGCCAGAAGTGGAGGTATAGCTCAAGTGGTAGAGTGCTAATCTTAAGCAGAAAAAGGTAAAAGGCAGTTCCCAGGTCCTGACTTCAAGCCCCAGGACCAGCGCGCGTGCGTGCGCATGTTAGCGCATGTGCGCACACGCACACACACACGCACACACACACACACACACACATAAAGGCTGAGTTTCATTTGTGCATCAATCATCTGTGCTATACAATAGGAGTCCCTGTCCAGGCAGCAGAGTAGAAGTCCCTCCTGCAGACTCAGGAAGACGTGTGTGCTGCTGTCCAGCTGACCAGCCTCCTTGACTCTCAGCCCAATGCACAAGCTGTGTGACAGTGGACATGCAGAGAGGCAAGGTATCAGCCCACTCTGGAAACCACTGGCCTCACAAGCCACAGGGATGATAAGTTTGGACTGAAGACAGACAAAACCCAAACCACAGATGGCCTGTGCCTGAAGAGCCAGTTTGGTTCCCTAAGGCCTGGTACTCAGCTCTAAGAATTCTCCAGGTCCTTCAGGGTTTTTTCCGTGCACAGACCACACCTAGCTCTGAGAAGCCTGCACTGACTCTGACATCACCTCCTGCTGCGCTCTGAACACTATCTTTAGAAAACTGTTTTTTTACAGTTACCCTATACCGCCTTCATCAACCTCATCATCCTACTTAATGTTTTTCAGTTTCAAAGGTTCTATTTTGTTACCTTCTAAAAGGTAATTGTTGGTACATATAAAACTATATGTCACATAAGCCACTTTTTAAGCATAAAAGTGAAGTTTGGACAAGTATCTGAGTTAGGAACCAGAATATGATTCTCACCCTCACATCCATCATTCTGTGGTTCTTCCCCATGCCATTACTTACTGCTCCCCATAGAAGTAACCACCACAATTTCCTGTATGGCATTCTCATGCTTAAAAATACATTCTTACAAACCAGGCTCATTGGCTCACGACTATAAACCTAGCTACTTGGGAGGTAGAGATGAAGAGCATAGTTCTTTTTGTTGGTCTGGGTAAAAATTCTGTGCGACCTCCATCTCAATCAGTAAAAGCTGGCATGGTGGCATCAACTGTCATCCTAGCTATACAGGAAATGTCAATAGGAGGATCACCGTCCAAGCTGGCCTAAGCATAAATGTAAAATGCAAGACCCTATTTAAACAAAGGGATGGGACATAGCACAAGCAGTAGAGTGCCTGACTGGAAACTACAAGGCGCTGAGTTCAAACCCCAGTAATGCATATATGTGCCTATTACATACACATGTTATATTCACAGTCACCAATAAATATTTTTCTAAAGAATATATTAACTTTGCTTGGTTTTTGTTTGGTTGGTTTGGTTTGGTTTGCCAGGCCTGGAGCTTGAACTTAGCACCTGGGCACTGTCCCTGAGCTTCTTTTGCTCAAGGCTAGCACTCTACCACTTGAGCCATGGTGCCACTTCTGGCCTTTTCTGTGTATGTGGTACTGAGGAATCAAACCAGGGCTTCATACGTGCTAGGCAAGTGCCCTACCACTAAGCCATATTCCCAACCCTTGTTTTTTGTTTTTTGGTTTGAATGTTGCTGGAATTCGTATTTCACTTGTATGTGAGGCTCTGCTGAAGCGTCTTACTGTGTGACAGCAATGCCCTGCCCTGTCCCCCGGGATGGGGTTCCTGGGAGGAGCTGCTTGGCTTCCTTTTTCCTCATAGCACTTATCATGATCCAATACTGTCCCTTTACTTGTTTGTTTTTATCTCTGTCCTATTGTTACTGCTTGTTGATAGTTTCTCTTGTTTACAGCTCCAGGGTGGCTTTGCTGGTTCACTTAATCATCTTAGAATAGCCAGCAGACATTCCATACCAGGTTGGCCCCTGAGAGGGACAGGGAGAGGAGAGGACTTGGGAATCTGAGTCCCTGCATTCCTAAGAGGACCCAGTGGTGCTGACCTCAGCTGCCCTCTGGGGAAATCAGAGGGCAGAGCTAAGGAGGAGTGGTGGGGGCGGGGGTTAGGAGAGGAGGGGTCGTTCAGCAGGAGCAAAGAACTGCATCACGGCTCTGCCTGTGGATGCATGCACACTGGGACCAGGTGTGGGCCAAGCTAAAGAGGGCTGTTAGAAGGACGAAGCCCTGGCCTGAGAGCTGGCTCAATGAGCCAGGGAGTCTTACCTGGGCCCAGCTGCCCTCCTCGCTGTCCTAGCAGGAACAAGCGCGGCATGTCAGGGAAACAGGAAAGTCAAGAAACCCAGCCTCTCCACCCCAAGCTCCATCCAAAGTGGGGGCGGGTGGGAGGGGAGAAGAACTGTGTGGGTGACTAGCAGACAATGAGAGCAGAAGGCTGGTACCCACAGTGGCAGTGAGAGGGGAGCACAGTGGTGTGGCAACAGACACCGCCACACATCCCGGGCAGGCCTGACTGGAAGCCAGGAAAGATGCCATGTACTCCCAGTGCCCCTCTGCTCCTCTACCAAGGACCAAGCCAAGAGTAAGGCCTTTGAAGCTCAGGCCCACCAGCAGGACAATAGCCTCTGCACCCCAGGTCTTCTCTCCTGCAGTGTTCCAGGCCCTAGGCTGCTTATAACCCTGGAACAGCCACCCCACACCCCACACTCTCCCAAGGACACACATACACAAACTCAGAATATTCCCCACGTCACCTGCAAAACCCACCTCCTGAGAGCAGAAGCCAATCAAGGACATGAGATCTACTGCCAGCGCCCCAACTTCCCACACCCTTCACCCTTGAGGTATCACTGGTCCTAGGACTAAGGACTAGACTTACTGTTTTGGTGGATGTTGCCAGAGTTTCCATCTCTTCATGGGTGACCCAGACATTCCCAGAAGACTGTAGGCAGAGAGGAAACCTAGCTCATCTTGGGACTCCCAAACACAAGACAGAACTCCTTCCCCAGTCCTCCCATAGGTCCACCCAAGCTCTGCACGGCCCAGCTCTGAGCACCTTCACAGCAGACACACATCTCCTTTGTCGTTGCTTATCCCAGTGCTCATACATGTTTCCTGGTGACCAGGAATGAATAATGCTGAGCTGAAGCAGGGCTGACCCCAGTTGCAGAGGTGAACAACTGTGATACTCCCTTGGGAGGCCATGGAGCTGGTGGGGTTATAGGACTGGATGGAAGTCCTAAGTGCCTTACTGCCTTGACCTTCCCCAACCCGGCAATAACACAGAAACACAGAAGTCCTGTCCCAGAAACTCCCAAGAGATCTCAAATTGCCAGGGTAGGGATAAGGAAATGGAGCCTGTGGAAACTTGTGGGAGGCTGGGACTGCAGGATGCTCCTAGAATGAACATCACATCCTACTAATGACCCAGGAAAGCCTTTTACAGGGATGGGAAGTTAAAAAGCAGAGATCAATTCACCACCTTCCCTCTAGGAAGACTTTGTGGGTCCAGGGTAAGGGAGGGCACTCACAGTCCTGGAGGTGGGCGGGGCAGAGGGGCTGGTCAGGGACACCATCTCCTGGATGGCCAGCCGTAGCTTGAGCCGGTGCAAGGCATTGCTGATGCCAATCTCTCGCTGGATCTCTGTGTCCGACAGGGCAGACATGATGGCACCACTCTTGACATTGGCCCGGCAGGCTGCCACGTACCAGGCAGGCATTCCTACCCAGAGCTGCGGACATGGGGCAGGAGGAGATCACTCAGCCCCTGTGCTCATGGCCTGGATCCCACTTCCAGGAGCTCTGGCCATACCAAGCGAGGAGCAAAGGCCAGGCCTCATCTGTGGTCTCAGCAAATGCAAAGCACAGAAGCTTAGCCCTATGGAGAGGACTGTCATCAAATCCTCCTCTCTCCCATTTTACAGATTAAAATTAGGCCTGAGAAGGTAAAGGGATTTGTCTCAGTATCACATGCATGATTGGCACTTGATGGCAGCCTATAGGAAGTCTCTCTGTAAACTACAGGGATTGGTCCTCTCATCCGTGAGACATCAGGATGGAACATCACATCTCTCCTCCAAAGTTAGGTGCTGTATGTACATTGGGGGAGGGGCAAATGCTTGGGCTGCCACACATGTAGTTGGCAGGGGAGAAACATGCTGACAAAGTGATAGAAAACACTTCTCGCTGACCAGGGTGTCCCACCCCACACAGTCTTCCCTCCAGACCCCCCTAGCAGATTCCCTTGTCCAAACTCACCTCCAACCAGGAGACCACAGTAGGGCCATCCCACTGGGCAAAGGGCATGCCTTTCCTGCGGGCATCTTCAAGCAGCTGGTGTCTTGTAAGAGGAAAACAGACTTACTAGTCCTTCCATCTCTCCCCCAGGCAACTCCTACAAATGACTGAACTGGGCTGGGACCCCCATTTCCCTTCTCCCCGTCCTTGGACTCTTCTCTCTGCTTGATACAAGGTGACACTAGGAAGGTGGCGGGAGGGGGAAGGCACCTCTACAGAAGGCCCAGGGCTTTCACATTGTTTGCACATGGCCTGACAAATACTGAGTTAGACATTTCAATTGGCTCTGAAACCCATGAGTCTCGAGTCACTGTCCCACTGTCCCCATGCTCCCCTCTTCCTAGGATCATCCTAAGAACCTTCTTGCAGCTGGGCACTGGGGGGGGGGGTCATGCTCATAATCCCTGGGAGGCAGATCAAAGTTAGCCCAAGCAAAAAGTACACAAGGCCCTATCTTAATAGGAAAATCTGGGTGTGCTGGTACATGCCTGTCATCCAAACTATAGCAGGGTGCATAAACAGGGGGATACACCCAGTAAAAAACTATACCCTGTCTCAAAAACAGCAAAAAATCATTTATGTGGCTCTAGCACAAGCACTTACCTAGTAAGTACAAATCCCTGAGTTCAAACCCTAACACGACCATAACAAATAAAAAAAGAACTTCCTCGCAACTCAGGACAGTGTTGATGTGACCACAAGGACCAGGACATCTGGGGAAGAGACTTTCTGAGCTTTGGTTCCCTGAGCTCAGTCCATGACAGCTCAGGGGAAGGAAGGGAGGTAGGGCCCAGGTCCCTTGGCAGCACTTGGTTTGTGGCTCTTACTTCTTCTTTAGTCGTCGGTCCTTTTCTGCTTGGGTCCCCAGCTTGGCAGGGACCAAGGGTTCCTGAAGACTAAGCTCGGAGTCTGTCAATAGAACTGGAAGAAAAGGATAGGCATGTCAGCAGACCTCTGCTTCTCCTCCCTGGGCCTAGGCCTTGGATGCAGAGTAGAAAAAGGAAGACCCAAGCTGGTCTGATGGGGCCCATGCTGTTCCTGGAGCCTCTTCCCACACCCAGCCAGTCCTGCTATGGCACTGGGAGGGTCCTCCCTAGCCTAGATGGTACCACAAGAACTTCAGCCCTGAGGGTGTTTTCCAGCAGATGGACCTTAGCTGTCCTTCCCTAGAATCAGAGACAAAACCTGTCCCTTCTCCTAGTCAAGGCACAAAGCAAACCAAGAGCACAGATATGTGTGGTCTACGAGGCTCACAGAGGATAGTGCTGCCTGGGTTGGTGGAGAAATTGGCACACTATTTAACTCCTGGCTTCTTTCTCTGCTCCTTGGTCCAGATTTCACAGAGTAACACGCCCTGCTCTATCTTCTATTAAGGATCTCCTGAACTCATGCTGAAACTCTAAAGAACCTTTGGCAAAAGGCAGCATCTTAAGAGTTTGCCAAAATCCTGGTCTCTTCCCACAGTGCACAGGGGCAGAAACCAATCCTAGACACTGTCTTGGATTTATATACTGACCAGGTGTGGGGAACAGGAGATCATAAGGTTTTTCACAAAATGCCTCTGCCCCTGATCAGACCTTCCTGCTTCCCCGTCTGTGGCTGGCTCCACAGCCCATCTCACCCGTGAGGCTAGGAAGGAAGACGCTCTGCTTGCTCCCAATGCCTGAGCAGAGACACTGGCCTCCTCACTCCCCACTCCTTCCACTAGCAGGGTTATGATTCACACCTTATTAAGGTGCAGAAGGGCAAATTATGCACTCAGTTCAAAGGTTCCTTTCTTCCAGCTGATTCAGTTCCTCCCCTGTATGATTCACCAGTGTTCCCACTGCCTCGCCTCGGGAGACTTCCAACCCTCTTCTACCAGCTAAGGATCTGGCCCTGACCAGCTGTCCATCCCTCTTGTACTCCCATCCTCTTCCTCCTCCATTCAGAGCAGACATGCTGGCAACAAAGCCCTCTCACCCACACATCTTTCTCTTTCCAGATTACACACAGACCTCCTTTTGACATGGCTATTTTCTAGCTGTCTTCAAGCTCTGAGTCAGATGGTGGCCTAAGGAGGAGCCCTTCCCACCAGCCCCTACCACTCCACAGCTGGTTCCAAGCTCCTGAGGCCTCTGGACCTCTCTCTACCATTTGTAATGCATGGGAACTATCTTTTTTATTTTTTTCTCTTTTCATTAGACACTGAGATCCTTGAACAAACTATTGTTCCAACCCCTCATACTCTGAGGAATAGGAGTTATTCAATAAACGGCCAGATGATTGGATAGATGAAGGAAGGAAAAGGAGGGAGGGGAGGAGAGAGAGGAAGAAAGGAAACAAGGAAGGGGTGAGGGAAGTGAACATTTATTGTGTTCCTCCCACAGGCCAAACATGATCTGAGCTTTATATGGCGATAGCAGTGACAAGTACTACTCGTGCCTCAGCACTTCCTTCAATGACTGTCAACAAAGCCATAATTAGATGTTTCCATATTCTTTGTCCTGTAAGCAGGCTGTACCAGAGCTAAGTTCTAACCAAGATCTGACTCCTCTAAAGAAAGCAGAAGTTTCTCCTCAGGTCCTGTACAGCACATCAGAAAGCCTTCAAAGTGGGAGTTCTGTGGGTGGAAGGGGTCCAGGGTGGGAGGGGTTTCCGAGGTGGGAAGAGCCTCCAGAGTAGGAAACCCTCCCCTGCCACCAACAGTCCAGTCTTTGACCAACTGCACAAATCCCTGCCAAATAAACAGCCACCAGCTACTGCCTCATGCTCCTAGGCACAGGAGCTACCACGTACAAGAACATTTATCCCATCCCAACATAGCACTAACAAAACTGCCCTCTGTGTGAAACTGATATATTCCTACCTGCCTGCACTTCTTTCTGCCCATGGCCCCTTGGAGGCAGTGGGGAGGCCAACTGTAAGTCTGCTCTCTTGCCTGACTTCCCAATGCCCACCCAGCCCTCTGCTGCAACGGGGGCAGAGACCATGGCCTGTGGCTCCATCCCGACTCAGCTGGATCAGCCTCCCTTTCTCCTTCTTCCCAAACAGGCGGCCAATGGACGACTTGATGCCCTTGCGCTTGGCGCCTTTGTGCAAGGAGTCCTGGCTGCTGTTGCTGCTGCTGGGGTTGCTGCCTTGATCCTCCAAGGCACTACAGGATTGGCAGACAGGAGCCGGTGGAACAAGAAAAAACATACTTAAATTATAGCAGGAGAGATAGAAGGTAGAGCTCAGGAAGAACTTAACTGTCAGCAGCGGGGTGGGGCAAGAGGGTGGGATCAGAGTAGGGAGGACATGGGAATACCCATTCCACATGGTGTTTCAACAAGAAGCAAAACAGGCAAGCACCAAGGACAGGTGCAAAGTGCTCTCTCCAGAGGCAGAGGGAAGGATGAGATGGCGCAGGGCAGAGACAAGAGAGGTAAGGCCCATTCTACACACCTCTTGCCTTCTTCCTGGCTCAGGGCTGGGTGGCCAAGCTTCTCTAGCCGCAGCGTCCTGGGTGAGGAAGGAGGAGAAGTCTCACATTTTATGGTGGCTTTATCCTCTCGGTTCTCTTCCCGAGACACTGGCGACTGAACAGACAGTGGGCCGTCAGGGGATGGAGGGGGCCAGGTGGGCCTGCCTACCCAGCCCAGAAGATGAGGCAGAGGAGCGGAGAAACAAAGAAACGCAGTTGGGGAGGCCCTGCTGCCTTTTAACTTCAGACTCTGCCCCCAGGACCCTGGGGGAGAAGTGGAAAGGGGGGGGCTTGGGAGGTACCCCGTTAGTACCTGGGTCATCAGGCAGCACTCACCAGCAGCTTCCTCCTATGCTTTCTTAAGTCACTGGGCTGGAAGAGAGAGAACAGAGTGAGCTGGGGCTCCCCCCCAGCTGCCCTAACACCTACCCCAAGAGGAGCCCAGGAGACAGGGTGAGAGAGTCAGAAGCCAGCCTCACACTGGCCTGGGGAGAACAGAATATCAAATCTCACCTGGAGAAGTTAAGTCAAGAGGACCGGAGAGGTGTGAGAAGTGGGGTGAGGGCACGAGAGTGTGGGCAGTAGGTGAGCTTTTTAAGCGTTTTGTGTGTACCCAAGGGAGGGTGAAGGGAGATGCTACGAAAGCCCTCTCCTGCCCCGCAGGGCATGCTAGTCTGCACACATTGTGGGAACATGCCAAGCCCAACTATGTGCTTATCAGCTGTACAAAGACTCTCACCAGGGTCATGACCCCCATTCGATCCAGGTCCTGGGCGGCACTGCGGGAGGTGAGCTTTGGTGTGGAGCGGCCGCTGAGTGGTGGGGATGCACTGGCCAGGGACAGGGCAGTCAGAGAGGTGGGAATGGAACCGCGCTTGCGCAGCTGTGTCAGGTTCAGTGCCTCCATGCTGCCACTGGTCACGCGTGTCTCGATCTCCTCTGCACGCAGCTCTGTGGACTCCTTCTCTTCCTGGATCATCCTGTAAGGAGGGCAAAGCCAGGCCTAGCATAGTGCTGTGTAGACTCACAGGTGGCAGCTCTGGGCGTTGCCAGGACCACAGGCCTGGCAAGGTGATGTTTCTGGTTGGAATGCTCAAGGCTTGTGGCTTAGAACCATTTCTCTCTTCCGGGCTGGCCTGCCTCACAGGTAGAGGCTGGGGAAGAGGCATTTGGTCAATGAGACACATACTGTCCTCCAAGTGAGCATTCTAAAGCTATCCCTCACTACCTACAGGGCATCTTGGAGCCAGGTCCTCTGCTCTGTGCCTCATTTCCCATATGCCAAATCTGTAGTGGTCAGTCAGTAGCTCCTAAACACAGGGCTTTTAACCAATGGTGACCCCAACGGGATTTCCCCTGGCCCATGAACAAATAAGAAAAAGAATAATGGGTGTGCCCAGGAGGCACTCAGCAAGGAATATGTATATGTATATGCATGTGCACATACACACACATGCACACACACATGTTAACACACATCCTTCAAGACAGCTCTGGGAGTGTTAAAAATGGCCTTCCTTGAGCCTGGTGCTGGTAGCTTACTCCTATAATCCTAGCTACTCAGGAGGCTGAGATATGAGGATACCAGTTCAAAGCCAACCAGACCAAGAAAGCCAGAGGAGGGGTGCGGGGAAGCTGGAAGTGAAGCTGTGGCTCAAATGGCAAAAATGCTAGCCTTGAGCATAAAGCTCAGGGACAGTGGCCAGGTCCTGAGTTCAAGCTCCAGGATGGCAGATACAAAGACACACACACACACACACACACACACACAAAGGCCTTTCTTTTGCAGCATGATTATGATGATAAATGGTATTTATCTTTCATGGTTTACTTTGCAAAGTAAAAGGTGGGCTGTCATATTACTGTGTGACTCTCCTTCTGTGTGTATATGTGTGTATGTGTGTATGTGTGCGCATACACTCTACCTATGGACATTCTTTGAAACTAATTTGTGAAATCCAAAAGTGTGGAGGAAATGGACAATTAATCTGACCCTGCCCCTCATGGGTCAGTACTGAACTAGAACCTTCCCAGTGGACTCCTAGACTGTGGCACTCTAAGACTGTAAGAGACAAGCCAATACATGTATCACACACAGGCCCCATCCTTCAAGGCTCCCTAGCCCCCTGCCCAGCCCCAACCTGATCTCCTCGTTGATTGCGTCCAGTTGCTCCTGTAGCATCATGGCCAGGGTCTGGGCATCCGAGTGGCCACTGGGGGAGACAATATCCACAGCACCCACCAACCCCCCTCGTTCCTCCTCATCCACATCGGAGATCTCAGGGTCGCTGTCAAAGGCAGGCGTGGCTTTGGGGGCCAGCACCCCAGGCAGTGGTGATGACTCCCAGTCCTTAGCAAAAGAGGAAGATAAAAAAAAAAAGCAATAATAAGACCCCTGGGGAAGTGGCACTTTGGCTCAAGTGGTAGAGCACTCACTTTGAGCTGAAGAGCTCAGGGAAAGCACTGAGGCCCAGAGTTCAAGCCCCATGACCAACCAAAAAAAGAAAAAAAGAAACTTTGGACTGGGAATATGGCTTAGTGATAGGGTGCTTGCCTAGCATGCATGAAGCCCTGGGTTCGATTCCTCAGTAGCACATACACAGAAAAAGCTGCAAGTGGCACAGTGGCTCAAATGGTAGAGTGCTAACCTTGAGCAAAAGAAGCTCAGGGACAATGCCCAGGCCCTGAGTTCAAGCCCCAGGACTGGCAAAAAAAAAAAAAAAGACCCCTGGATAGCTGAGGAGCAGGACTTTGGCTGCTTTACTCAGACCATTTTAAAAATGCAGAATCCCACTGATATTGATCTGTTAATGTTGCATTCTAAGAGATTCTTCTTGAAGAAAGAGCTAGCAGACTGATTACAAACAGATTATCTGGAGAGAGAGATTATCTGGGTTCAGATCTTGGCTACATTAAATAGTAGCTGGATAGCTGTGGCAAAGTTGCTTAACCTCTCTGTACCTCATTTTATCTGTACAAGGAGGACAATAAGAATATATGTATGCCTCACAGGTAGTTGTAAGGCTTCAATGAGGCATATATAGTACCCAACACACAGCAGGCTCTCTATAAAGGCTAATGACTTCTACCTAAGAAACATCAGGCAAGGTAACTAGCCAGGGACCAAGAGACCCAACAAGCCTGTCTATCTTGTGTGCTTTGGAGTTTCAGTACATCACAAGAATTTCTGGTTAACCCTGAGAAGTAGCAATTTTTCAGAAATCATCTTATGACATCTTCAATAGACAAAGGCTCAGGAAAGGAATAGCATGTGCTTGGGCCAGGAAAGCAGAAGAACAGGGAAAGGAATAGAGGGGTCCAGGGACAAAGATGGGCTCTCACACACAAGCTCCCAAGTTTCTCCTTAGGGATGTCTTCTACCTCCCGTGACTTTAGTCTAAGCTCCCTGGATGCTACTGTTGTATTCTTTTTTTTTTTTTTGGGGGGGGGGCGGTCGTGGGCCTGAACTCTGGCTAGCGCAGCGCTCTACCACTTGAGCCCCAGCGCCAATTCCGGATTTTTTTTTCTGCTTATGTGGTGCTGAGGAATAGAACCCAGGGCCTCATGCATGCAAGGCAAGCGCTCTACCACTGAGCCACCTTCCCAGCCCTACTGCTGTATTCTTATAAACAGATGAGTGAAGGACTGAAGGGAGGGAGAAAAAAGGAGTACCTTCAGACTTTTTTTCTTATCAGGGATTAAACTCAGGACCTCACACATGACAGGCCTGGGGTTTACCATCTGAGCTATGCCTCCAGCCCTTCCCTTTGAATATTGTTTTTGAGATAAGGTTTCACTTACTTTGCGAGAGCTGACAGATCTTCTTCCTGTCTCAGCCTCATAAGTGCTGAGATTATAGGCATGCACTGCCACACCTGACCTCAAATTAAAGGCTACTTAAAGGCCAAGATGAGTCTTCCCCAATCCAACTAAGAGGTCTTTCTTTCTCCATCTAAATCTTACAGTGTCCCAGAAGACCTAGACTCAAGACGCAATAAGACTAACAATTAGGGGACCAAGCAGGAATCTGGCTTCTCCAAAAGATGGAAGTCAGCCCTTGTTGGCCCCTCATCTTCTTTTCTTATCCCTTAATCTCCATAACCAACTCAGCAAGAAGCCACAGCTGCTTCTCAGAAACCCCAGGTGTCATCCCCAGGGCCAGTTAACATGTCATTCCCTCCCTCATCTCCCATAAATCACACTTTTGTTCCAGGAAGCCAGCCAATCCCCTCTTACCCCTCCCCCAGCCCCTTCGTGGCCACCAGAAACACACCGCACACCCAAGCACACGTGCCCACACTTCAGCGTGGCCTCAGGAGCTGGCTGGCCACCTCCCAGCCCCCACCTCTTGTCCACTAGGAGGCAAGTGGGGGTCACAGCTGCTGCAGTTGACGATGGCCCCAACTCCAAGGCTGCAGCTGTTGTTGCCATGGGGGAGGCAGGAGAAGGCTTTGCACCACACGCCAGCCGTCTGTGCCACTGGAGCCAGGCACGCGGCTGAACTGACCCCAGACTCCTGAGGGAGACACACACGCACACACACTTCCACCCTCACCTTGGCAGACTCGTCCCTCAGTGCCGAGTAGAGTCGATGCAGGCCTGGGGGTGCGTGGGTGGTTGTGCTCAGGGAGAAGCGCAGGTCTGCTGCACTGCCCACATGAGACCTTCAGGGAGCAAGATAGACAGGCCCTGAGGACTGAGAGCCCCAGCTCAGACCCCCTGGGCCAAATGAGTCAGAGATCTTCCACTTGGAGGGGAGCCTTAACGGGACATAAAGCTACCATAAACCTTTGAAGGACTGCCGGGAAAACCTGAGATTAGACTTAGTCCCTGGTGCTGCTGGGTGAGAGTGACCAGCAGCAGCCCATTTAGTATAAGAAGGTTCTGGTCTTGTGATACATTTTTTTTTTAAGTTGCGATTCTTTGATCTTCTACAAGTGCAATGGAGAAGGGCTCCAGGTACTAGGAAAGGCCAGTTGGACTGATCTTGAAGGTCTTTTAAACTTCTCTTCAGGGAAGATCCATGGAAGGTGTTGGTGTCCTGGTCTTCTTCTGGTAACTTATCTCAGGACTCCTTATAATCTATACTGAGTCCCTGTCTAAAATTCACCCTGGGTATAAACCACCAACACCCAGCAAAATGCCATTCCTTTTTGAGATAGTCCAGGTTGGCCTCAAATTTGTAACCCTCCTAGCTAAGGCTTCTGAGGTGTCAGAATAAAAGGTACATGCCACCACATACACCCCAGCCACAGAATATTAACCTGGTTGATATACTTCCCTCTCCTTTTCCCTAATTCAGAGACTGATTGTTATGAATGTAGTTGTGAAATTCTAATCAGAAACCTCTCCCTAGCCCCAGGAAACTTCAGGAGGCTCTGACACAGTGCCACAGACATAGGCAGATAAACCACCTTGGCTGGCTCCTACGCATCTATCCAAATGTTGAGACCTTAAGGTCACAGTAACAATCTAAAGTATGGAGAAACCACGCCTGCAACACTTCTTTCCTATGTCTTCCCAGCCCAGAACTCTCGAAGGAAACCAGGAGTGGGGGCTAGGTAAACCTACAAACTACATCAGACACCTGGAGGGAGGCAGAGATCCTGCCTAGGCCCCTCCTCTTCCCTGCAACTCACACCAATTCCATGATGGGTCCAGTGACTCTGCAAATGCTTAACCAGTAAGAGATGCAAGCAGTAGCAAGGGCTTGGGGAATTCCAGACCAACCAAATCTTATTAACTGAGGGTCTGTCCCTTCTAATGAACCTACAGAAAGGACAAGAGGAATCTCAACTACCATTGTCTGCCTCTGTCCTTTGCTCCTATGAACCCCCATATACAATAATTTCTGATGAACTTGAAGCTTAGAACTTGAGTGTCCACTGCCCAGATGTTTCAAGCTCCAGCATCTTTCCCTCATTCTAGCACTGCCTCTACGCATTCAGATGAACATTCCCTAACCCTTTCTTCACAGCGGCTGAACCCTGTTTTCCTGAAACAGGAAGAACACTGAGCAAAGGGAACCATAAGGGTTCCATCTAAGTTTTTAGAGAAAACAGCCAGAAAGCATGGAACCTTGAGTGGCATCATCTGCTTCAGTCTCCTTGACCCTGATCCTATCTCTCTGGACTGAGAATGGAGGGCAACCATGAGGTCTGTACACAATGCCAACAGCTTCACAAAATGTGGAGGTAAATCTAGAGGTTCTCTAAAATGTGCATGGAAGCTCCATCACCGTGTCTGATAATGGGATGCTATAACCATGTAACTGATTATCATGGCATCTTCTGACCATAGGAAGTTTTGACCGACTCATTTCAATCTTCCTGCTGCCTTTCCAACATCATCTACTTTCCACTTCATCTACTTGAACTTGGGTTGGTCCTCACCTCCCAATGAGCAGAGTGAGCTAGAGTGAGTGGCTCTCCCTGCCAGGGGACCATGGGACAGGAGAGCGCATGATGTGGCCGACCTCTCTCAAGGGTAGGCTCTGTCAGTGACACAAGAAGCATGGCCCATGTGGACAAGGAGCCCCCTCTGCTTACTTGCCTCACTGTCCCTCAGGGGATAGAACACCCTACCTAACTGCCCATTTGAGTTCCATGACTGACCAAGTACTTGAAGCTTCAGTATCCCACCCCCAAATGGGAGGAGGGCCCTAAGATCCTGGGCAGCCTTCAGATGAGGGGACACCTCCTTTCTCAAGGTCCATCCAGGACCCCATCCTGGCAAACCCTGCCTCCCGTGCTCCAGTACCTGGAGTGGATGCCATCCACAAACGGCCCCCCTCGACCCTTCAGCTGGTCCACCTCTTGGCGCAGCTTCTCAATCTCTTCAGACAGGCGGCCCTGTGCCAGGCAGACACAGGGTGGGGTGGGGGCCAGGGAGGGGCAGAGAGGAAAGAGTGGACATCAGAGAGGGACAGAGAGGACAATGGAGTTGGGGAGAGGCAGAAGAGTACACCTAAGGCCTGAAGTAAGGGACCCCAGCCCAGGACCACTGATGACACCAAAGAGAAGAATATGACTGGAAAGTGAGCAGGTCAGCCCGGGAGACCCTGGGAATGGACTCTACGGAAAGAGATGGACTGACCCTCATTACCAGACAAAAGCATAGCAACTGAGGTTGGGCAGCAGAGGGGCCGGTGCGCTGCCACATACTGCTACGGCAGAGGCAGTCGTCAATCCTCCCCTGCCACCAAAATCCTCTCACAGATCCAGTCCCTGGCCCTGAGTCTGCTGCCCACGCTGTGCCCTGTGTTTACACCTCTATTCTTCACCTCTGGGTAGTAATACACACAATGTCTGTACTGTGTTGGGCTGTCATGAAAAAACGCTGTGCATGGACTAAGAGAGGCTGACACAGAGCTGAGTATCAGAGCAGCTGCATGACATCCAGGTGTGTCCTTTCCTGGGACACCCAGGCCCTCCCAGGCTGGACGGGGCTGGCCAGCAGCTGGGTACCTTGTGATGGTGCTGCTCCTCAATCTGGCGCTGGGAGCTCTCCAATTCCTGGATCAGCGTGTTCTGGGGGAGAGCAGCTGTGAGCCAGGTCCTGGCTCTGGCTCAGGCCTGTGCCTTCATCTCCCAGGTAGAACAGACCCTCCAGGCCTGGGGTCTCATCCTGCCTCACCAGGCCCAGCTGCTGTCCAGACCCACTCACTGAAGTCCCCGCCATGCCCGTCTGCCTCACCATGACCACACCCCTCTTCTCATGCTCCCTCTCATGTCCAACCTCTAGCCTTTGGACAGGCTCCATCCACCCACCCACCCATTCCCCACCCCAACCTCCAGGCCCTCCGCACCTTCTCCTCCAACGCGGCCATACGCTCCTTGAGGTGGAGCTGCAGGCGTTCATTGGACTCACTGAGCAACCGATCCACAGTGTCTGACAGCCGCTTGTTGTGGTCTTCATTCATCTTCTCCCGCTGGCGCACCTGCACAGCCGCCGGCCTTCAGAAGGGCCTGGTGCTGCCCTCTCCAGGAGCCACCCATTCCCTCTGCAGTGCTGCCCCCTTCACCTCTGCTCTCAGGCTCTCTCCACCACCTCCTCCCCCATCTGCCAACCTCTTTCTGGCACTGTGTGGCTCTCTCTGTGGACAGGCCTTTCCTCTGTGTCCCTCCTCCTCTGAGACCCTCCACAGCCCAACCTGTGAGCCTGCCCTGGGAACAGGGAGGTGGCCTGAGAGCTAGCACAGTGCCCTCACCCTTGCCAGCTCCTGGTTCTTCTCCTCTAGCTGCCCTTCCAGCTGCCGCAGGTGCTCCTCAATGTTGCCGTGCCGCTCCTCAGCCTAGGGGCAGGGATGGGTCAGTGCACCCTGAGATCTTCATTCCTCCTGCTCAGGTCCCCATATCCCACAGTGGCTTTGACTAACAAGAAGACCTAGCCCTATGCTACTTATCATCTTGGGAGCAGAACTACCATCACCACTGCCCCTGACCCCTGCTGGGACCCTGGCTTCCTTCCTGCTCAGGGTTAGCCTTAAAATACCTCAGAGCAGCAGGTCAATGGTAGCTCATGCCTATAATCCTAGCTACTCAGGAGGCTGAGATCTGAGGATCATGGTTTGAAGCCAACTGGGTCAGGAAACTCCATGAGATTCTCATCTTCAATTAATCACAGAAAAAGCCAGAAATGGAGCTGTGCTTCAAGTGGTAGAGCACTAGCCTTGAGAAAAAAAAGAGTCCAGGGACAGCATCCAGGCCCAAAATTCAAACCCCAGGACCAGAAAAAAAAAATCCAAAGCTGCTGGGCACATGGTGGTCACAACTATAATCCTAGCTACTCAGGAGGCTGAGATATGAGGATTGCAATTTAAAGCCAGCCTGGCCAGGAAAGCTCATGAGACCCTTATCTCCAATTAAGTGCCATAAAAACCAGAAGTGGAGCTGTGGCTCAAGTGGCAGAGTACTAGCCTTGAACACAAAAGCTTAGGGACAGTGCCCACTCCTGGAGTTCAAATCCTAGGACTGAAACCAATTTTTTTTAATTCCAGAGCTGACAGCTCAATAAGACTATTAATCCTTTCCCCATGCTTTCAGAAGGGGAAAAAAACTGCTTGAAAGAAAGAGCTTTCAGGGACTGGGAAGGTGGCTCTGGTAGAGCACTTGCCTTGCATGCATGAGGCCCTGGGTTCGATTCCTCAGCACCACATAAGCAAAAAGAAAAAAGCCGGAAGTGGTGCTGTGGCTCAAGCGGTAGAGGGCTAGCCTTGAGCTGAAGAGCTGAGGGACAGCGCCCAGGCCCAGAGTTTAGGCCCCACAACCAGACCCAAAAAAGAAAGAAAGAAAGAAAGCTTTTAGCCAGGTGGTGGCTCACGCCTATAATCCTAGCTACTCAGGAGTCTGAGATGTGAGGATTGCAGTTCAAAGCCAGCCCAGGCAGGAAAGTCCATGAGACTCTTATCTCCAATAAACCACTAGAAAATCGGAAGTGGCTCCGTGGCTTAAGTGGTAGAGCACTTGCCTTAAGCTGAAGACCTCAGGGACAGCACTCAAGCACTCAGGCCCACAGTTCAAGCCCCATGAGAAAGAAAGAAAGAAAGAAAGAAAGAAAGAAAGAAAGAAAGAAAGAAAGAAAGAAAGAAAGAAAGAAAGAAAGAAAGAAAGAAAGAAAGAAAGAGGAGGAAAGAAAGAAAGAAAGAAAGAAAGAAAGAAAGAAAGAAAGAAAGAAAGAAAGAAAGAAAGAAAGAAAGAAAGAAAGAAAGAAAGAAAAGAGGGAGGGGGGCTGGGAAGGTGGCTCAGTGGTAGAGCGCTTGCCTTGCATGCCTGAGGCCCTGAGTTCGATTCCTCAGCACCACATAAGCAAAAAAAAAAGCCGGAAGTGGGGCTGTGGCTCAAGTGGTAGAGCACTAGCCTTGAGCTGAAGAGCTGAGGGACAGCGCCCAGACCCAGAGTTCAGGCTCCATTACCGGACCCCCCCCAAAAAAAAGAAAGAAAAGAGGGAGGGAGGGAGGCAGGGAGGGAGGGAGGGAGGGAAAGAAAGAAAGAGAGGCGGACTGGGAAGGTGGCTCAGTGGTAGAGTGCTTGCCTTGCATGCCTGAGGCCCTGGGTTCGATTGCTCAGCACCACATAAGCAAAAAGAAAAAAGCCAGTAGTGGCACTGTGGCTCAAGTGGTAGAGTGCTAGCCTTGAGCTGAAGAGCTGAGGGACAGCACCCAGGCCCAGAGTTCAGGCCCCACAACCGGACCCAAAAAAAAAAAAAAAAAGAAAGAGAGGAAGGAAGGAAAGGAAAGAAAGAAAGTGCTTTCAAACATTATGGTGCATCTCCATAGACAGCACTATACTGGCGCATGGGCTTAATACTGAGTGCCTGGGTTCAGACCCAGATTCCTTCCCAGCACCACTGTGACTTTGGGAAACCGCTGAACCTCTACATACCTTAGTTCCAACTGTAATATGTGGATAATGATACCACCAATGACCACTGGTCCCTTACCAGGACTAAGTGAAATAGTCCACAGCAAATGCTTTGAACAGTGAGCATTCCACAGTGCTACTAGCCTCTGTTACCGAACCAGCTCAGGTAGCAGCGCCATCTCCCTTCCTCTTCTTTTACCTCCAGAGATGGAGACCCTATTGTTTCTGCTGGCAAGATACTATAGAACACCACAGACTAGGAAACCCTTCCTTAGAACCCTTCTGCTATGACTCACTTAACATATTAATCACTTCAGCCCATCCCTTCTTGTCAGTTTTTGCTTAGCTTCCTACACATAACAGCTTCTGCTGTGATTTAAACTCAGCCTTTCATTCTTAAGGGCTGGGAGACTGAAGGGACCAGCACCAACTTCGCCATTGAAGAGATTTGGACACTAAGGCCCCACTAAGCAGTGAAGGACTTTCCCAGGTCACAAAACAGGATATCGGTAGAAGCAGACTGAGGCATAGCCAGGTGTGAGTTCCACCCCCAGAGCACCTGACCAGTCTCTATTCTGCAGAGGCTCACGCACCAGGTGCTTGTGAAACCCTGGCTTCCTTTCCTCCTCGGGTCTGGGCATAGCGATGGTGATCCCACATAAGACTCCCCCAAAAAAGCCTCTAACCACCTGAAAAGACTCCTAAAGTCATCTGACAAATGTATTGTGTCTCTAAGTTTGCATTCATTTACCTAGCTCTTCCAGAAGCTTCCTGTTTCAGCCTGCACACCTTTTAGGAAAGAGTATTCTGTAAAGTCACCGTTCTAACAGGTAAGATTATATTCCCTTTTATATTCGTCCTAAAGCTGAAATCTTCAAGAAGCCAGGAGCAGTCCCTACATCTAGAATGCTTCAAGATGTGCTTGACCTAAATTCTCTCTGCACATTTTCAGGGCCATGCACACTTTGATCCTATCTCCTCTTGGGTTTCCTCTTTCCTGAGATGAAAACCCTAGTCTTTCCATTCCAGCCCCATAGGAAAAGCTTCAACCATAATGTTGTAGGTGATCATGAATATCCTGCATATCAATGTAGATGCATCTCTAAAAGGACTTTTACCCTCCTTTTTACAGAACTGTGGGGTGATGAGGGCGGGATTGCTCTTCCAACAGAAACAAGGTGGTGTCTAGCATCAGGCAGTGTGAAGCAGTTCTCTGGTTCTAGCCTGAAGTGCCTCCCATCTCTCCACACCTTGTGTGGCTCCATAAGAGCTCAGCACACAGGGGACAGAGACAGATCCCAGGCCCCCGACACACTTGCCTTGGTGAGAGCTGCAATTCTCTGGGCCAGCTCAGCCTCCACCTCTGGCAGAGTCTCTGCCTTGCGCATTGTCTGCTGCAGCTTCTGCTCTGCCACCTCCAACAGCTCCTGTAGGTGACGGGCCTTCTCTTCACACTAGCGAGGTGGGGTGAGGAAAAGATTCAAGAGAGTGTACTAGGACCCTAGCCACATGCCATCTCGGCGGAGGGGAGGTAGGTCACAGGTCAGACATAGCAGGGACAATCTTGGTTCTTGACTGTTCAAGATGCCTGAATTTCCCTTTCCCGAGGAACCTGCAAGATTCCCTTCCCTGTCCCCCACCCCTGCTGCCGGGCTTCTCTCTGGACCAGCATCATCTGAGGAGCCCTAGTGTCAAGTGAATCCCTCACCCCATCAGGAGTAGTTACCTGGCGGTGCAGGGACTCCTTGTTGGCCAGTTCATTCTCCAACTTGTCATTAAGGTCATGGATGGATGTGGCCTCACGCTGAGCAGCCAGATAGCGCTTCTCCAGCGTGGTAATTCGCTCCTCCATGTCTTCCTTCTGGGCCAGAGCCTGGGCAGAAGCAGAGGGGATGAGAGCAAAGGTCACCAACCTTTCCCTGTCCTCCTCCTGTCTGTACCTTCCCACCCACATGTGGCTGGTTCTAACCCAGAAAGGGCTTGATATAGGCTCCTCTGACAGATTCTGGCCTGACCAATCTTTCATCACCCCTGCCCACCCTGGACCGGACCTGTTCAAACTTGTACACTCCAGCTGGTGTGTGCCAACGCCCATACCCAGCAAGAGGAGGTGACTGACAGCAGGCATGCACCTTCACTCACCTCCCGGAGGTCCCGCTGATGCTTGTTGCTCATCTCCTCTGACTTGATGAGGTCCCGACGGGCTATGCCCAGGTCCTCTTCCAGTTCAGTCACGGCTGCTGTCAGAGTGACCAGTCTCTCCCGAGCCTGGCTCAACTCAAAGTTTTGCTTCTCCAGGAGCTCCTGTAGCTCCTCCACCCGGCCTGTGTCATCCTCCAGAGAAAGCAAGTCCTCTGTTAGTCATGGCACCCAGGGAGTCCCATACCCTGCCTGGTACCAGGGGAGAGAAGGTCCCAGCTCTGCCCCCACATCAGAGTGCAGCTTCTAGTACACTCCTGACAGCTGCCATGTACCCCCTGAAAAACTGTTTCTACAATTGAAGTAGAAAAGCATACACCATGCCTAGCACAGAAACAGAAATCCATATGTTTTGTTGTTGTTTGTAGATTATGGTGTGGGAAGAAGGAAAGAGGAGTGGATACTGCAGAGATCCCCCAATTTAATTCAAGTTATTTCTCTGTGGGACTTCCCACTTCCATTCCTGTCTTGAAGAATAGAGGCCCTTCCTAAATAGCATCCCCCTTACCTACCTTCCATAGGCGTTTTGGTCCCAACTCCACAGTCCCCTCCTCTTCTGCCACTCCATCCCGAACCCCTGCCCCCTGCTGCAGGGCAGACACCTGTAGGGCACAGCATTGAGGACAATGACTCAGAGAGAACTTCCTATACATTGTGTCAGGTCCATTTGGCAGGACCTCAGTAGCTGTATGTGCAGACCAAGGGCAGGTCGTCAGCTTACCTGCTGGTGGGCTCCTGCCAGTTGCTCCTCCAAGGTGGTAACTCTTTCCAGTGCTGCCCGGAGCCGCTCTCGCACCTGCCCAAGGAAAGGGGAGATGGAAGAAGAAAAGTGGCTCGGTTGACCTCAGACTAGAGGGCCTGGGCTTGATCTACTACTATCAGGTATGAGGAAAAGTAAAGGGCCTGCCAAGAAGCAAGTCCCAGGAGAGACGCTAACTAGAACTTGAAACTAGGCCAGCGGCAGAACACGGACGGTTCCGAAGCTTGAAGAGTCCTCCCTTATCACTGGATGCAGAGATCTGAGCAGGACAGGAGGCTCAGGAAACCTGGCTGCACTGGGGAGCCTGCAGGGGCAGCTGGTACCTTCTCATCCAGGGCCTTGTGGTGCTCAAACAGCGACTTGAGGGCCTTTAGCACCTCCACCTCACTAGAGACCCCCGAAGGTGACTGGGCCTGGCGCTTCACCACAGTCATCCGCAGTGACCGCTCATGGCGAGATACCAGGCACTCCAGATGTTCCAGAAGCAACTGGCAGGAAGCAGGGGAGGGCAAGAGGGAGGGCTGTGAGCTTGTGTCCCAGGAGGATACTAGCAGGACCCACATGATCACCCAATAGGCACAAATACAACCATACCACGGCTAAAATATTGGAATTCTCCCATGTTTCTCCTTAATTCAACATCCACCTCCAACACATCTACTCCAGCCTCTCCCCTAGGATCCCCAACCCTTCCATGACCCAGAAGCTTCAGAAAAGCCCAGCACTGGTGGCTAAGTCATATGACAGGATGATGCAAGGCAGGACGAGGTCAGGATGGAGCTGGAACTGCAGCTGCCTCTGGTCTTGCCTGTTGGTCAAGGTGGACACATGCTCACATGCATGAACACATGCACACATGTACATATCATGTACACATGTACACAATCACCCCCCACTTACCCTTGTGTTATTCCGTTCTGCTTTCAGCTCCGAAATCTCTTCCTCCCGCTCTAGAAGCTGTTCCCGACACATGCTCAGCTCCCGGGTTAAGGTAGCAAATTCCTGAAAACCCCCAAGGCCTCAGTACTTGAGGATTAAAGTAGTATCCTGCATACCCAAGTCCATAGTGAGCTACTGTCTCCCATCTTTCACTTCTGCCTGCAACACAGTGGAGCCCAACCAATCCTCCTGTAGCTAGTGTGAGCTTCCCCAACAGTGCCCAGGTCTGAGGCCTCTGTGAAGCTCAAGGGTGTGTTGGGATCCAAGGGAACAGAGCCCCACACAAGAACAAGAAAGTTAAGAGTCTGCTTGGCAGTCACTTCCTCCTTTGGCCACCAATGTGAGCAGATCCCACCCTCCCTCCCGCTCAGTTTTTCCGTTTCTCCAGCCACTCACGGCATCTGTAGAAACTCATGGAGGATCGTACCCTAGCTGGTTTGGTGGAGTGAGAGCCACACAAAGCTGACAGACATGGGGGGGAGAGCAGCACATTGAGACTCTTCTATCTAGTGACTCCCAGGAAGTTCTCTTCCACACCCTACCCAGAGTATAGCCAACTGCGGGTAGCCAGTGAGACAAGAAGATAGAAGAACTACAGGGGAGAGCAAGGCCACATGCAGCCCTGACCAGTCAACTGCTACATGGCTTCAGCCCTAGCTACCTGGGAGTCCCACTCACCACAGCTACAGCCCAGGGCCTGATGCTAAAATACTTGCCCCAGCTTCACTGAGTATCAGTGACTCAGTATCCCTTTCTGGTGAGCACAATTCTACATTGCCAAAGACCCTTCCTGCTTATCATCTTCCATTAGGACAAGCATCTAGGGTACAGAGCCTGACCCCACAGTTCCAGGCCCATCACAGCCTATCTACTGACCAGAAAGGTTTTCAGGTGATTGGGAAGAGGTTGCTGCCTTGCCCTACACTGCAGCCCCTCCCCGCTTGCACACCAAGAATCCATAACCAAAGGAAGAAGTCCCAAAGCTGTCCCCTCTTAGAACTCCAGCCCAGGCAAAAGAGGCTGGATGAGCTTTAAGAAGGGACAGGGAATGAGAGAAGCTACAGCATGAAGACCTCTGATCCTTTTCCTTGATTGTCCCTTTCCATCAAGGCTGTGATCAAGGAAGTCAAGATCACCCAGCTCACACATGGAAACTGAGGCCTGGGCTTGGTGCTGCTTCATCCCTCAGCTAACATTCATGCACACACAGAGTCATATTTATGCACACATACACCTTCATACACACACACACACACACACACACACACACACGCTTATACCCAGAGACAGGACTCGGTGGCATGTCCCTACCCTACACCATAGACACTGCCACTAAAGGGCCATGATGCTCTCTACACCTCTGGTCTCAAGTTGAGTGGCTACTTGGTCTTGGGCAGCCTGTCCTCTCTCTCCCTTACTCATCTGGTGGACAGCTACCAGAATACTGTCCCAAAAACGCATCTACAAAGTTATGTACTAACTTCTCAGCCTGTACGAACTTCTCAAACTTTTCTTCTGGCTCCTCTCCCATCACCTAAGTCCTAGCTAGTCCAGCTGTGTGTCTGGTGCAGTTTCCAAACACCAGCAAGAGTTCCAAACGCCACACTTTCCTTCTCCCAGTGGACTCTCCCCCTCAACTCCCACAGAGCCCTGCCAAAGTTGGATATAGCCTCTCCAGGACCTTTCCAGAATCCTCAATGGGGTACAAGCCTTCCTCCCTCCTCAGAAAACCATTCAGAGCAATCCACAAGGCATGGAATCAAATCTTAGCTCTTCCTATTTGTCATGTGACCTTGGACAAATTCCTTAGCCTTTCTCAACTAATTTCATTCTCTGATCCAGAAGACAGAGGTAAGCAATTCTCTCTGGGAATTGCTAATTAGCCTGATGTACAGAAAACACCACCAGAGGCAGCTATTTTTATCACTGATGCCATACCTAACCACCCTTCTGGGACTCCTTATCTTCCTCTACATTCTCTCCTACTCATTTGGATTCTCCTGTGCCTTCTTTCTGGTCTCTCAGGGCCAACACTAGCTCATTTACTACAGGGCATATTCAGGGTCTCAGACATGATAAGGAAGGAATAGCCCACCTGCCCACACCATCTCTCAACCAGACTCCATATTCTTGTTGATAAAACAGCACATCTGAACTCTGGGAAGAAAACTGACCCACCCTAGCCAGGCCTGGTTCATCTCCCTACATTTGGGGAAAGAGCCTGGCACTGAGGCTTGAGCTATGATTCCTCAGGGCTGCCTCCCCTGGCCAAGAAAGCACCTTTTTAGGCTCAGGACGGGCTACGTGATACATTCCAAATCTGGTTTCAACAGCCATCTCTATCTTAAGAGGAAGTAGAGAATGCAGGATATTCACTCCATCCCTGAGAACCATGCTCACAGACAGTTGCCAACCCCACTCTCAGGCTTGGTTACCAGGCAGAGTTCACAAGCAGAAGGATAACTGAAGTAGGTTCCTGCTCCCCTTCCTATCCTCAGAGTTCTCGTTTTGCCTGGAATATCTAATGACCAACTGAGTGGGGAGTAGTAAGCGATACTGAGCTCCAGGGCCAACGTGGCGAGAAATACAGAGGATGGGGGAAGGGAGCACATCACCTCTGAAGATGCATGCGTGCCCCAGATGCAGCTGCCCCTCTAACTTCCAGGTCACGAGTAACTGATCAATCGCTCCAAGTTTCCATCTCAGCCTTACAAGACAGGATGGCAGTGATGATGAACCAACCTCCGGCTGCAGGGATTAGCTAGCTCAGTCCACAGGAAGACACAACAAAGGGTGACTGCACTGCAGCGCTGGGCTGTGAGGTGGGCTGTCAGAATAGCTGGCTTCTTAGGCTCTGCCTGTCATTGTCTATGTTTCGTCTCTTGGGTTTTTCATCTCTGCAGTAGGGAGCTGAACTAGGTGATCTTAAGGCTTCTCCCACCTCCACTTTCTGTGATTTCCCTACCTGCCACCTCCCAGAATAGAGCTCGAGTGAGGAGCAAGCAGAGCAAGAGGCTTCCTTCCAGTCTAGGGTGCCACCTACTGGTAAGCTGGGCTCAAAGCAGCTGACAACTATGGCTGCCTTAACTTCCGGCATCAAATTCCATTCATTTCTCCTGGTGAGGCCATTCTGGGCAGAAAAGCTTTGAAGTGACAGGAAAAGGGAAGATGACAAGCAAATTCTCCGTGTATTCCATGTTTGATGTGCGAAAAGATGCCAAAGGTTGCGGTCCAATTCTGCTGGAATCAAAGGGACCCAGGGAAGAGAGAGGGGCTGAGAGGTGCAGAGCCTAACCCTTACCTGAGGGAGGGCAGAGTTAAGGTGGCGCTGGAGCTGGTCCCGCTCATGCAGGGCATCCTGGAGCCGGCTCTGTGTGGCTGCCAAGGTTTCCTGACTCTCTCGAAGGGATTCCAGCAACTTCTCCCGCTCATCCAGCATGTTCACCATCAGCTGCTCAAAGTTGGCGTCAGCATCGGCGCCATGGGGGGGCCCCAAAGGGTCCCCCTCATTGATTGTGGGCATCACCTCACACATGGTAGGGGTGGACAGGACCTTCTGCACGTCAGGGGATGGGGAGGGACTCACAGGGTTGGTACCCGCAGGAGGACCCAGAAGGGCACAGGTCTCGGAGTGGGCAGTGCCAGGCAAGAAGACAGGTGGGCAGGGGTTTCTGCCATGGCATCAGTTGCTCTTGCTCTGAAAGGAGTCTGGGGTCTGCAGTGCCCCTGTGGAATGGAGCCAGAAGGCCCGGCTTAACCTCTTAGGGCTGGGGCTTAGTGCCCTGTGTCCCCAGACAAGCAGGCAGCATCCAAGTGTGGCCATGACAGGCAGGAAGAGCAGGGCTGAGAGGCGGCCTTTGTCTTAGACTGAGCACCGGAGCCTGGCAGAGTCCCAGCTGGGTCTAGCGACACCCATGGCTTCTGGAAGGCTGTGTGGTCTGCAGGAGAAGAGAGCTCTGTGAGGACCTGCTAAAGGAAGGGGAGAAGGGCATCCAGGGGACGGGGGCAGGCCTGGAACCAAGGGGAAAGAAGGGAGGAGCTGTTGGCACAAGCCCCTTCTCCAGGCTTACTCACTCCAGTGGCACCTCCTTACTTCCCCCAAGGAATGCACATGCCTGCTGCCCAGCCTCTGCTGCCTGCAGCCCCTGCCCCACCCCCTGCAGCTGTCAGCAGTGCAGCCGCAGAGGTTTCCCACCCACGTGGCTCACTGGCCAAATATAGAAATGATTCAGTGAGTGGTAGGGGAGCAGCCAGCAGGCTGCCCAGAGCCCTCCTGAGACCTAAGGGTGGCAGGAGAGGAAGTGGGTCTCTGCCCTGCAGCCCCTTCAGAGTTCTTCCACACACTTGGGCCAACGCAAGTGTGGATGGCGTTAAAGGGTTTCGAGGGCAGGGATCCCAAAGAGACTGGACTTCTGGGGTCATAGGAAAAAGGCATGGTGGGGCTTGCCATCACTCAGAGGACACATGGCTGAGGCCTTGGAGAGGCACAGGTTAGGCACAGGGATAGGCCAAGAGTCCTGACCTACTACAATGTCCATAATTCAAGGGGGCAGCTCTGGCTCATGTCATTCCCTACTTCTGAAACCTTCCAAGGGTGGCACACAAGCCTGGCAGACAGCAGTCTTTGACTCTAGATTTATAGCTACCACCTCTGTGTTGGATCAGTGACTAAATGACTGAAATGAACCCCGGGTCCACGTGGGGATGGAGGATGGCTACTCTAAGTAGGCCTTTAGCCATCTCCTCCAGGCTGGGAAGCTATTCATTTGTTATCACTGCTGGCACCACCGGGAGTCAACAGCTAGGGATGTCAGTATGCGTAACATGGCTCCAGTGATTCTCAGAGCCTGACACTGCGCAGCCCAGTGGTCAGGGCAAAGAAAGACAAAATGTGGAAGCATAATATAGCTGGCAGCTTCTCTGCCAACCATGGCTGCCAGCCTCTTGCCCACAAAAGGGTCAGTACCTTCATCAGCTCTCGATGTCTTCCCATTGGACAAGAGTGCTAGAGGGACATGGCGTCCCAGCCCAGTGCTGAGTACACTGGAGACCTCCATAAATGGTGCTCTCCTTCCTCCCCACCCTTCAAGAACCAGACACCAAAACCGGACACAAACTTCCCACCATGGAGGGTAGGGTCCCCAGAGGGCCCCAAGGTGGCACATAGAACTTTGGCCTGGCAGCCCACACTTCCCTCCCAACCCATAGAGCAGCAGGGAGGGGAGGAGGAGGGTCACAGCCCCCTCTCCCCATCTCCCTCTTGCAGTTCCTCTGATCTCCTACTCACTGTGTCCAGGCCCTTCACTGAGTGCTTTACACTGCAAGGCTGAATGCTTGGGGTCCCTGTACCCCTGCCATAAACAGTCCAGGAGGAATCAGAGGAACGAAAGAAGGAAACAAGGAAGGGAGGGCTGGAAGGAGGAGCAGGAAGAACAGTGAGCTCAGGACCTCAGGTGCCCCGGGGATGGCCTGAGCCCTGAAGATCCCCAGTGCCATCATAGGAAGAAACCCAGAGCTGGGCCTTAGACTGGGGCTACACTCCCACCAGAGACCATCTGGCTGACAACCTCTAAGGTTGAACTACAGCTCTTAAAGGGATGAGACCATGGGTGAGCAGAGGTCCGCGGAGTAGAAGGCGCCCTATAGTGACAGGAGGACAGAGAAGTGAGTGTTGGATAAAGGCAGGCCTGTGGGTGGATCTGTTTTCAGTTTTTGCTTTTTGTGTTGTTGTTGTTTTGGGGGGAAGTGGGGCGGTTTGTATGTTTGAGACAAGTTCTGGATAGGTAGAGGTCAGATTGATCTTGAACTTGTAGCCCCACTGAATGCTGGGATGACCGGTGTGTGCCACCACACCCAGCATGGATGGAGGGTTTATTGTTGTTGTTGTTGCTGCTGCTGTTTTGTGCCAGTACTGGGGCTTTAGGCACTGTCATTTAGTTTTTCACTCAAGGATGGTGTTCTACCACTTGAGCCACAGCTCTACTTCCAGTTCTTTGGTGGTTAATTGGTGACAAAAGAGTCTCACAGCCTTTACTGCCAGGCTGGCTTTGAACTGTGATCCACAAATCTCACAGCCTGCTGAGTAGCTAGGACTGTAATCGTGAGCCACTGGCACCTGGCTATCAAATAGAGTTTTAAAAGCTTACAGGAGAGGTGCTGGAAAACTTCTCAGAAGAGGTTGGGGATTTAGCTCAGTGACTAGCACTTGCCTAGCAAGTACAAGGCCCTGAGTTCAGTCCTCAACTGTGGAAGACAAAGAATTCAGGAAGAGAGAGCAGACTGTTCTATTTGGTCCAGCTTGGCCTTTGGCAACTGAGGAGCTGTTCTTCCCTGGCCTCCTACAAACCAGGTGCTAGAAAGCCTCTAGAGGCACATAGAATGTGTGGGAATGTGTGAGTCTCAAGTATACACCCCAGAGATAGCTACACGACCCAATGTACACACACACACACACACACACACACACACACACACACACACTGCACAAGCCAGGGAGCAGAAGGAAACTCTAGCGCAGCCACACGGGGACACCTGGCTTCTTCTGACTCCAGGTCCATCTTTAAATAGAACAATTATCATCTCTGCCTAACAGAGGCCTCTCAACTCCTGCACAATTGTAAGTAACACTTACAGGTCCTGATTCAGAGGTGAAAGCTGCCAGCCCCGAAAGCAAGCATCTTCCAGGGGCTTTGCCTGGAATGTAGGCAGGCTGCAAAAGAAGACTCGAGGGTGAGTGGGTGTGAGGAGGCAGGGCAGGGAAAAGTAGGCCTCTGGCTTTACAAACATGGAGACAAACTTTGAAGCATCTTGGCTTTCCCATCTTTTCCTAACCGACAGGAGGACTGGGCACCTGGGTCTGACACTGCCCCGCCACACACATATTCTTGGCTCCCTACTGGACTACCAGATGGCAGGCCTCAACCACCCAAGCTAGCTCAGCAAGGGTGAGACTGTGGCCTTACTGTGCAGGCTGGGGCCTGTGCTCAACTGTGGTGGGGTACGGCTAGGTCGAGGGAGCCTCAGCGTGGAAGTCCCTTCAGAGCCAGGAGGAGGGGAGCTAGAGGGAGGGTGGGAGCCTGAGGCCATGGGGAGGGAGTGGTGATCCAAGAAATAATAATGATTTGTGGTAGCTGCTATGATTTATCAATATTTACCATGTGCCAAATATTAACTGATTTCACTCCTCACAATTCCTGATGAGGAAGATATAATCCTTCTCCCCATTTCACACATGTCAGAACTGGGAGTCAAAGTCATGTGAGCAAATTTCACAGCTGATAAAAGGAAGAACTGAGCCGGCACCAGTGGCTTATACCTATAATGCTAACTACTCAGGAGGCGCAGATCTGAGGATCATGGTTCAAAGCCAGCCCGGGCAAAAAAGTCCATGAGACTCTTATCTCCAAGTAACCACCAGAAAACTGTTAGTGGTTCTGTGGCTCAAGTGGTAGAGGGCTCACCTTGAGCTGAAGAGCTCAGGGATAGTGGCCAGGCTCAGAGTTCAAGCCCCACGACTAACAAAAAAAAAAAAAGGAAGTACTGAAGGTTCCATTTGTCTGACTGACTCCAAAGAGGGGGAGGGATGGAGGACAAGAGAATGAAATGCAACCTGTAGGCATGTCGTCACCCCCAAGGAACCAAAACACCAGGGCCTGACCGTCCTTACCTTATCAGGGAGATAGTGGCCTGAGGACTGCTAGCCTGCACTCCCTGCTGCCCTTCCACCTTGAGCCATGGAGAAGACATACCAATTACAAGGGCCATTTTCCCAAAAGCAATGACCTGCAGCCAAGGCACCAACCACCCACCCAGAGCTCTCTCTTCACCCTGGGTGGCTCCATACCCAGCTCTAAGCTACTGCTCCCCTCCTGGCTATGGATTTCCATAGGCTGCCCACCTGTCCTTCCCTCTCCTCCAGAAGCTTCTGTTCCTCTCCTGTCCAGCTCACCATTGCAAGAATCCAACACCTTCTGCATTTCACTGGGCCTGCCTCTTAGATTCCCTTCTCCATCTTCTAAATTCATCTCAAATACCACCTCTTCCTCTCTGATTCCTTCCAATGCATAGCATTTGGCCTTTACTGGCCCAAGACTGCTCTCTATTCCCTGTCTTTCCACCACATGATCATATCTAAAGATCCTCAGGTAAGAACCATTTCTTACTTAGCTTTGGAAGTTCCAGCAAAGAGTCCACATATCTGTGTTACCCACTGCTATCTGGGAAGTCCTTCTTCAACTGACATCAAAGAAAAACTCCAAGGTAGGAAAACCTGGCTCAAGGCCTGTGAACAGCACATTTAACTGACCCTCTGGAAACTACAGCTTTTTTTTTGTCAGTTGTAGGGCTTGAACTTAGGGCCTGAGCTTTTTCACTCAAGGCTAACACCCTACCATTGTGAGCCACAACACCATTTCTGGTTTTCTGATGTAAGACTCTCACAGACATTTCTACCTGGGCTGGTTTCAAACCACAATCCTCAGATTTCAGCCTCCTGACTAGCTAGGATTACAGGAGTGAGCCACCAGCGCCAGGCAACTACACCATCTTAAAAGCCAGCTGGGCTTACTCCTATCTTGAAAGATACAATCTGGAGCAGACTTATTGACTGGACACAGGCTCCTTCCTGGCTATATGTGTGACCCTGAGAAGGTACTTATCTTCTCTGAACCTCAGTCCTCCTTTGAGAAATATGGGTGACAGCAGTGCCTACCTTCTCCAATAAATTGACAGGAAGACTGCTAGTTCCCTTTCCCTAGCAAACACTCTGTCAATTAACTCTTAGCAGCCAAAGCTCCCAGAGCCCTCAAGACTAGGCCTTCTCATTTTCCATGTGGATAGAGAAAGCTATTTCCAAAGAATAAAGTTTTAGAGTAGCTAGCGACTCCTTCACAAACAATCAGTTCTCTGGGCCTTCCCAATCCACGGACACAGGAGGAGGTAC